GGAATTTTACCCGAAATACGTTTTAGTTCTCGCTTACCGCATAAAATGATTCTTTAAATACATACTCTCGCGACAAGTGTTATTTTAACGTTATTTAACATTTTAGCGTTATTTTATTCTCAGATCTCGTAACAGTATTGTTCCGCGAGATGGTCTCGATTTAATCTCGCAATTAATCGATTGAGATCTCATCGGTGGAATGAGACTTCCTCGTTCGCGGCGCCGTGACGAATTTTGTCACAGCTCTTCAAACCTCCCTGAGGCTGGAAGGCGGACATTTTCTTTCTAATTACGGGACTGCGGACAACTCTTTCGGTGCTTCGCAATATCTCGCTTCACATCGCCGTCCACGTAAGCCGGGATAAATTACTCGAATAACAACGCCACTGTAAAACTCGCGCGAGCGAGGGAGCGTTCCCACTTTCTTTTGCTCCCTTTGGCGAGACCCGGCGCGCTAGACGCACGCTAGGCGTTTAATTCGTTTCCAAGCAGCCCGTTCTCGCCAGCGCGGCGCAAAACGACCAGAAACGCATAATTATGAACCGCACCGACGGCACTTCATCCGGACAATCACCGCGGCCTCCTCGCCGGTAGTAATTTCGCGTTAAGATTAATTATTCGCACCGAGTGCTGGCCGTGCGGCAGAGAGAGAGAGAGAGAGAGAGAGAGAGAGAGAGAGAGAGAGAACAGGTTTTAATTGAATTAATCAAGTGGCGCATTTGCACGGCTCAGCCTAGTTCGTGCGCGCAACAACGCGCCCTCCGTCCTGAATTAACGCTCTTATATAATAATGATCCGCTTTGACAAAATTCCGGCCTGGGTCGCAATTAGCGCGCGACACACTTGCCAAATTTGTGCGGGGTAACTGCGCGGCGATTAATTGCGCCGATCAATTCTTTCGTGAACGTGCTTCGGAACGCGATGTGTACACTGTTCGACACTTTGCCGCGAACACTTTGCGGAGTTTTGCCCTCCGACGTTCCCAGCCGGGGTTATCGTTATCGCACAATATACTTCGGTCGAAGTAACAGGAACGAATCGTAGCGCGCTGCTGAGAGTCGGTTGTCCAGAAATCGCGGTTAACCGAGGGAAGACGGATCGCTTGACTTGGCGTGTACGAGTAGCTCGACTCGGAGAAGATAACGAGTCAAGTATCATAAGACCGTTGAAACGTAAAATCCGATTTCTAAAGTTTACGCGATTACCAAGCGACTTCCTTTGATTATCAATGCTCTTTCGCGTCTATGAGTAGACGTTAGATTGATATATATATATATATATATATATATATATATATATATATATATATATATATATATATATATATATATATATATATATATATATATATATATATATATATATATATATATATATATATATATATATATATATATATATATATATATATATATATATATATATATATATATATATATATATATATATATATATATATATATATATTTCGCGATTGTTAGCGGATGAAGGGGAGCGCAAACTGTGGACGTTAGAGGTTCAATGAGCAGGTATAACGCAGCACGCGCGCAGTGCAACGTTGCGCTCTTGCGCTGCACACGCGCGCGCTAACAATGGGGTAAACAGAGAAAATTACCGCTTGCCACGGGAGAACCTGCCTGCCGCCTGACAGAGGTTGTTTCGCTCGACGGGACTACCCTCCGCGGAACCGCCGCGTGACGAGCCATCCCCGCACGCGTACAATGCTCTTAATGAAACCTGATGCAGCCCAAGCCGATATAACCCTCTAGGCACGGCCTGAAAGCCACCCCTTTGACGAACAGACGGACGGACGGACGAGCGGGCAGGCGTTTCGGGGACGGACTAGGAAAAAGGCAAATTAAATTCTCAAGTAAAATCGCGGCAAGAGGGGTACAGAGGGTTGGCTGAAGGGTAGGATAGGCAGGTACAGGCAAAGATAGGATGGCAGGGGCGAAGCGTTGTGCGCGACAATGGCCTTGTTAAGGCACCCACTAATTGCGCCCAACGCCTTAATGGATCCTCGCGAAAATTGCATCGACCTAAGTCCGGCAGAACGAGGCATCCTTACTTCTTCTTTCTTTTCCTCTTCCTCCTCTCTCTCTCTAACTCCTATGCTACCTTCTTCCACTCTTGCTTGTCTTTCTTTTTCGTCTGTCCCCTTGTACATGCTTTGTCTTGTGGCCTATCTCTGCTTCGACGGTGTCCCTTCGGCTTTTTAGATCTTGACGAGACGCGTTCAGAGGATTCCAGGGTAAGTTACGGAGGAGGAGAAGGCTGTCCAAGGAGCCGAGAGAGAAGCTCCGTGTAACAGCTGGAAGCGGTTTCCTCGCAAGAAGAAAAAAATTGGATTTCGATCACATAACCCGAATGGCGACCCTTCCAATCGATTTTTGAAAATGACGGATTCGTTGAACGAAGGGTGGATTTATTCCGCATCGCAAAAAAAAAGTAGGTAACTTATGTGCAGATTACACGTATGAGATGCTGAATTTTTTAATAAAATCATAGATACCATATATTATATACTACGAATATATAATATATAATTAACTGAAAAAACGCTGTATATCACATAATAAGATAGATAGATAACTTAGTAATTTAAATTTATAAAGTTGGTATCATATGATATTGACGAATTAAATTTCAGGACGCATACACATGGATATACATGAATGAATTCTGGAGATCTTGACAAGAATGCAATTTCCAATATTTTTCGTAACGATGCAACCAATTCAATCGCTCGTCAATCTTATTAATGCTTCCACTCTCTTTCAATCAATTTTCCGTTTCAAATAAATAAACAAAAAGTGGAGTGTGCAATCGAAGGAATCAAGCAAAATATCGTACAAAAGTAGACACTGTGCAATCTAAATAATTACGGCAATACCGAGACTCGTCTTTAATAACCGTCTGGACGTCTGAGTTGTCTCGTCAATCCTTAACCCTTAGACTCTTCCCCAGATTCTTCCAACTTCTCTTTCTCTTTCTCCCTTTTAAGTACTCTTTATCCTATTATTGCTTGTTATATTTCACTTTTCATTCTTATTATTCCTATTACTTATTTTTTATAATGATCTCACATGTATAAGATCCTTGTTATTGTTTTAATTAAATAAATATTTATGCTTCAAAATGCGATTATTGTTTATTAGCATTTCAATCCTTACATGGAAAAAAAATTGGTTGATTCACGAACAGTCAACCGCATTTCAGCTAGAATGTTTGATTATGACACTGACCTTAGTTGTCTAAGCAACTGAACTCAGTTGTTATAAACAAATATTCTGGTTGCTTCAATTAAAATGCAGTTGTCCGTGAACTAACCAATTTTTTTATGTGTATGTGAAAACTGCGAGTTTTAGGCATGAGCATTCGTGGACTTGATTGCAAAGAAGTTCTCCCTATGCGGTCCTATTCCACCGCGCTATTTTCCCTTTCTCTCTTTCTCTTTCTCTCTCTCTCTCTCTATCTCTCTCTCTCTCTCTCTCTCTCTCTCGCTTTCCCGTCATTCCTTCCACTCTTACTTTTCTTTTTTCCGGCTCTGGTTTAATCGACCGGTTCCTCCTCGACCTCGCACGAGCCACGCTAAATCCCGACGACAGCGCGCGAGCGCACGGCAGCTATTTTCGCAGATCAAAGACGACTCCAGGGAGATTGATACGGCGGCACGCCTCGCTAGATCTTCGCGCGCAACCGCCCCGTGAGCCTTTCGATAAATAAGTCACATCGCAGTCGCCGGGGATTGTTTCGTCGTGAATCTTTCGTGCCGCTTGTTAACACGACCCGCGTTCCCGACATTCCCGACCTTTAGTTTCCACCCAGAGGGATTAACACTCCTGCCCTTTTTTTTCGCACAAAGAGTGGCAATTATTTTTGACGTTGAGTAGTAACTTCCATGCAACGTGTATAACGTGTTCCCGAATTAGCCGGTGGAAATTCACGAGTACGTTCTTCGATGCATTCGTTGATCATCATAGTTTTGGCTAATATTTCTTGATAAAGAAATTTATTATTAGAATATTTCGCAATAAAGATCTCAGGATTTTGTCAGTTCTCTTAAAAAATATTTGCAAACAAACATGTCGATAGACATTGCTTCTATTTACACTCGTCGCACCCATTTTATAGAATAAATGGCATACATAATGTAAAGACGGTATTACTAATAATCGACATGTGTATATGCATTGACAGAAAAAATGCAGTACGTTTGGTCTACACGTAAATTTGGTTGTGCCAACCAAATTCTATATTGAATTTTTCTACCAGATTTACGTGCGGGCGGTTTATGTTTTTTTTTCTGTATTACGTTGGTTATCGGCAAATGGTTATTAACCTGCTACCTCGTTTCCGGGAGAAATGCTTGATCCTTTTAATTATAATTTTAACAAAACACGAAACCAGATCTCTGTGGCTTCCGTTCTTTTAGATCTTAAATTATGGTTGGGTACCCGAGAGATTAATACTTTGGTCACGGATCCGCTCAGCGAGATCCTTGTATCTCGCGATATAACCTCCGATAAATAAAGTCCTGCCGATGATGTACGCAGAGAGCCCATTCGCTTTATCGCAAACCTTATTGCTTAGGATTTCGCTTGTTATCGTGACGTGGCGAGTTCATTTCAGCATTATATTTCTCTCTACCCGGCTATACTATTCTTTCATCCGCTTGTGGAAAATAATGATAGCTCCTGTATCTTCACGAGTATATCGCAGAGAGCGAAAAATAGAAAGAAAAAGAGAGAGAAATATGTTATATAGAGAGCGCAACTTATATTTGGGAAAAAAAATTAGGTCGATCGTGATATATTCTCGAAAGATCGGAAATCGAAACGTTATTTAAGCTTTCACTTAATATGAAATTATTTTTAAAGTGTCAATGTCGAAGAAGAGTTAATATGCAGAAAAATAAATTTAGTGAATTAGCACTGTTTATATCATATTTTTAAATATATTTACGAAATATGAATATCTCTTTTACAAAAATAAATAAGTAATAAAAAATTCACAAAACTCGAACACGTATGTCGTTGGAAATCGCATCGCAATCGCACAGTAAAAGAAAACTATCGCACAAGTGAGTCAGTCGATCTTTCGCATACAAGTCGCCTTCGCGTTTGTGCGGTTTGTTCATTACCGTGCTTGCTAACGTGTCGCATGTTCTTTCTGCCGCGGTATTGCCGAGGGAGAACCTCCTCTCCGAGTCATATTTCAGAGGTAGTTAGCCTGCCTTGCGTGTTTCGCCACGACGACGACATTACGGCTGCCAACGTGTCTCGATAACGCGTATTTACATTCCGAAGTGGTGATGCATGTCCGAAAAGCGAGCGTGAGTGAACACGAACTGCATGAAATTCAGCACCGCTAAATATCGTGTGGTGATTTCAGGCTTTTTATTTCACGAACGTATACAGTTGTGATTAAGGAGTCAGCCTCCGTAAATAAACGACAAACAGGTGTCCCCAAAATTCTTGAAACAATTTTCACGTGTTTCGCAAGATTAATTGTTACTCTCGCTTATTTTCACCCATTTCTATCGAGTATTCTAAGGAATTTTCGCGACATTTTATGACTCTTTGTCGAATTTTCATTGTTTGATCTTTCTTAAATTTGTCAACAGTCTGCTGGCAAAGTCAAGTTGTGTATGATATTGGCCTATAGTAAGCCACGATGGTTTAGCATTACCATAACCGGGAGATTAACAGATTCGAGACATTCAAGATGAGATAATGCCTCCACCTGCTCGTCTTGCTGCTGTTCGCGTATCCATAAGCTAATATTTTTTAATGTATTCTTTAATAATCATTGTAAAATTTAAAAAATAGTAGAAGACTTTCCTAATTAATTCGATATGCCATTTATTTAATTAAACAAACTATATAAAGTGTGTCACAATTATCCTATGATTAGTGTAATACCGTATAAAAAGCCATATAATTGACTATAAAAGAGAGTAATCTTTATTAAAAATATTCATTAACTATTAAAAATGTTAATTTACTATAATAATATAATGTGCATATGTTCAGGATATGATACTAAAGTCATCGTATAATTAAGTGTATGAGCTGAACTTCGCACTACTATCATAATATGAATTATTGTAAATAGTTAAATATTCATTATGAAAATATATATCGCCAGTCTCTAAGTCTTTGTGTGGTGCAAGACCACTAAAGTGATTTCTTTCATTAAAATCAGGTTCTACAATTCTATCCAGGACTTCCTCTATTTTAATGATGTTCTTTTTAACTTCACGTTTGGACGATGAACATAAAAATAATATACAACGTTGATTCATTATTTCTTGTATAGACTCTGTACATATGTTTCCCTTATCAAGTTCAATGTGAAATCCCGCAATCACAGTTGGTATTATATATTTATCAGATCGTATAAAATCGCAATACAACATAGGAATTGAAACGTAGAAAAACATCTTTTCACTATCCATGCAACGTTTACAAAGTTTACATTTACCAGTATCGTAATTCATTAATTTTGGTCCTACTAAAATAATTAATAGTTGTTGTATTTGAGGTACAAGATGTAACAAAATTTCCCAAGCTGGTAAACTATCTCCTTTCATAGGATTTACGGCTATAATATGAATAATCACCAAAGAGCTTTGCAGGATACGTAACAAATGTGTTCTCTTTAACCCAGAATAAACTGTCAGTGGTTCTGAAAGATAATCGGATCGAACGTAGTCTTTAGCAAGCCAATCGAGATCTTTTCTTCGCATTAGTATATATTCTATACAAAATTCGAGCATTTCTTCAAAACAACTTCTCTTATTGATAAATAAAAAGAAATTATAGGATATATTAGATGTTTTGCCAGAAATAGTTTTGATATCTATATTAAGCAACAGCATTAATTGGTCGCATTTGGCTCCGTCATGTTTCCTGTTAAAAACTTCCGCGTGCTGATTGCAATAGTTAGCGGAAAAGCATCTTTGACAAACCCGCAGATTTGCCTGTTGATAGCAAACAACACATGATTTTGACCATAAGATCATTTGTTCCATATAAGGCTCCATTTTGTCATCAAGTCTTTCTTGGATTGATTCCATCAATATTTTTCTTGATTGTATCCATTGTTGCCAGTCATAGAACGTGCGCATGTCTTGATGAGGTTTTACTTGCAAAACCTGAGCTATAATTGCACAAATTTTCGCGTGGTATGGGTGGTGTATCATTTTATGTTCTTCGCTACAATAAGAAATCAAGTAACATTGACTACATAATATCAACTTGCCTCTGTCTACCGATTTGCAGACGTGACAAATATTTGGATTGAAAAACTGATTGTAACATTCGGCTATGCATTGTCCACGATATTCAAACACTTCCCTATTTGGATTGCTCATACTGATATTTGACCGTTTAATGAAGTTTTCTCTAATATTGTATGTGCAATATTATTTAACACGAGGAAACTGCTGGCACGTAACTAACAGCATTAAAAATCTTTGTACAGATTTACAATATGGATATTTACATGACGACTACGCGAAGAACAATAATAAATGTGTATATATATATATATATATGTGTGTGTGTGTGTGTGTGTGTGTGTGTGTGTGTTATGTTTTCTGTGTATATCGGGAACTATTGCCAATTTGAAAGTAAACAGAAGATACAGAGAGATACAAATATCCGTTTCCAAGTAAAATATCTCAAGTAAACTTTAAACACACTAAGGAAAATATGCATTTGACTAATACATAAATATGTATATATTCAAATTCCCTTCTGAAAGGATCGAAGGAATCTATGAGGATTTCCATCCTATTAACAAAAAAAAATTAATTTTATTAAATGCACGTCAGTATCTTAAAATATATTGCAGAATTATTTAATGATTATTAACTTTAAGCACATTACTTTGTGTTTAAACAAATGAAATAAATGGGAAACTTCAACCAAGCAAAAGATGAATACATATTACCATATGCTGGCGAACATGAGAAATACGTAAAGCAGAGTAATAATGAGAGAGAAGCAATTTAATAAGATATTAAACAGCACTAGAAATTAATTTTTTAAATTCTTTTTTACATGGTTTCGACCACCTTTATAAACATCACACCTTTCGCTATTATTTATAATTTAAAATATTGTGAATCTATTGACATTGTCTTAAGGATGACGGAAGGAGGTGCGTGATGTTAGACCGCAAACCAGCACTATTTAACATCTCGAACTGTATGATGTAAAATTATCGACTATTTAGATGAGGCAATGCCTGCAGAACTCGATTCCCCACAAAAAAAATTACTTTAATTTTTAAATTTGAAAATGGTAAAGGACTTGCTTATTCCGACTGATGAGCATTGCCTGCACTTGATCGTTATATATAGTAATTTAATTAGTCAAACAAATTGTAATAAGCGTATATATATCACGATTTTCCGCCGCACATACGACTGGAGTAAAGCCTTATCAATAAGAAATAATGTAATTATAAAAGTGGATAAACTTTATTGAATTTTTTATAGGATATTTATAATAACAATATATAATATGTATGTGTTCAAGATAACGCTTCTAATGTAATTGTATGATTATGTATATGAGCTGGATACTTTTTCGCTACCGTCATAATATAAATCGTAGTAAATAATTATATATTCATTACAAAAATATGTATCGCCAGTCTTTAAGTCTTTATGTGGTGCGAGCCCACTAAAATAATTTCTATCATTAAAATAAGGTACTACATATCTACCTACGGCTTTCTCTATCTTCATTTTGACAATTCTTATTTCTTGTTCGGACGAAACGCTTAAACATAACATACATTCTTGAAATGCTATTTCTCGTATAGACGCTACACATAAATTTCCCTTATCAAATTCGATCTGAAATCCCAAAATCACATTTGGCATCATATATTTCTTAGATGATTGTACAAAAACATGATAAAACATAGGAATAGAAACGTAAGAAAATTCTTTTGCTGCATTCCTGCAATGCTTACAAAGGCTGTGTTGACCGAAATAATCTGTTAATTCTGATCCTACCATAATAATATGTAATTTTCGTATTTCTGGTATAAGATGTAGCAAAATTTCCCAAGCTGGTAGATTGTCTCTCTTTATGGAATTTGAGGCTATAATATGAATAACGACATATTCTTGTTTTAAAATATGAAACAATTGCGCTCTCTTAAACCCAGAATAGACTGTCAGTGGTCCTGAAAGATAATCAGATCGAACGTAGTCTTTGGCAAGCCAATCTATATCTCTTCTTCTTCGTATCAGTATATATTCCATACAAAACTCAAGCATCTCTATGAAACAACTTGTTTCATTAACAAACTGGAGGAATTTATATGATATGTTCTTTGTATTATCAGAGATAGTTTCGATATCTATATTGAGTAATAACACTAATCGATCGCATTTGACCCCATTATGTGTTTTGCGGAAAACATTCGCATGCTCATCGCAATAGTTAGCGGAAAAGCATCTTTGGCAAACCTGCAGCTTAACCTGTTGATGACATATATAACACGACTTTGGCCACAAGATCATATGCTGCACGTACGGTTCCATTTTGTCATCAAGTTCGTTTTGGACTAATTCCATCAATAGTTTTCTTGATTGGACCCATTGTTGCCAATCACTGAATTTGCATGTGTCTTGTTGTGGTTTCACTTGCACAATCTGTGCAATAATTGCGCAAATTTTCTCATGGTACGGATGGTGTATTATTTTATGTTCCTCGCTACAATACGAAATCAAGCAACACTGATCACATAATATCAAATTGCCTTTATCTACCGATTTGCAAACATGACAAAGGTTCGGATTGAAAAATTGATTGTAATATTCAGCCGTGCATTGTCCCCGATATTTAATTACTTCTTTGTTTGGATTGCTCATATCGATATTTATCCGTTTAATAACATTTTTAGTATTTTTCATCTATAATATTACTTAACAAAGACACTCGAAAATTTAGCACGCAACTAACAATATAAAAATATTTTTTACAAATTTACTGTATGAATATTCACATAGCGATTACATAAAGGACAATAACAAATTGTTTATATGTGTCTCTGTGTGTATGGCAAACTATTGCAAATTTGAAATGGAACAGGATATATAAAGAGATACGAATATTCGTTTCCAAATAGAATATCCTAGATAAACTGTAAACATACGGAAGAAAATATATTTTTAATATGATACACAAATATATGTATGTTCAAATATTGAAACATTGAAATATTGAAACATTGAAGTATTAGAAAAAAATGAAATCAATTATTAAATAAAAATTAATTGCACGCTAGTACCTGTAAAAGCTGTTGCGGAATTATCTATCGATTAACCTTAAGTATATTATTTTGAGTTTGAACACAATGGAAATGGAAAAGAAAATTTTAACGGCGTAAGAAATGGATATATATTACCAGACACGAACACGAGAAACACATGAGGCAGAATAGCAATGAGAGAAACAATTTATTAAGATGTTATACGCTATCTCTTTGAAATATTAATTCTTTTATACTTTGTCTCACATCACAAACTCCTCAAAGATAGTATATCAATATATTGACTCAACTCGAATATACACGGGAGAACAAGGCATAATGTATTTGTTTTAATAACTATTAGTTTCAACAACATTGCTATTGAATCAAGAAAATTATTCCGAGCACAGTGTGATATTGATCAATTGTATTAATTTAACAACATTTTTTCTGTGTGATACAAACTGCATAACGACTAGATCATAAACATCTATATGATATATTCCAGATAGTGATTAAGTCTTATCAAGATTTTTATGTCTATGTTTTCAATCTGATTTTGACATGATTTTGCTCGAATTATTAGTTGATATGTTGACCGGTATTAGAAGCACACTTTAGGCGAGCACATAAATGGCTAAGAAAATGGCAGCTAATTCTAAGCATCTTACGTGAATCTGGAGCATTTGATTCTGTGTAGATATCATTTTACAAAGCTCGTCTTGTTTTCCGTCCACTGATTTGCTAATATTTTTTAATTAATTCGTTAATAACCATTGGGACTTTATAAAATAATAGAGAACTTTCTTGTTCAATTTAATTTATTCTACTTGCATATAAACATTTTGTTGTTAATTGTAAGAATATATATAAAAAACAAGATGTTACTATTAATACGAGCGGATTTTATTCGTTGTCTTAATTAAATTACTAATTGTTAAATACACTGTATAAAGTATGTTATGTGATTATTCAATTATTACATCTATTACTATAATAATACCTTATCGATGAAAAACAATATAAGCGCGATGAAAAAGGGTAATCTTTATTAAAAACACTCAGAGTTTATTTGACACACACACACACACGCGCGCGCGCGCGCGCGTGTGTGTGTGTGTTTGTATGCACAAAAACTTAATTTATGGTATCCAATTTATGGTATTGTTCCTAAAGCGATAGTACAATTATTCTTCCGAGCTAGTAATGGATTGGTCAGTATCGTAAAGAAGCAAATCGCTGTAGATAATTAAATGTTCATTACGAAAATAGGTATCGCCAGTCTCTAAGTCTTTATGTGGTGTAAGACCACTGAAATGATTTCTTTTACTAAAAATAGGTTCTACGATTTTATCCAGAACTTCTTGTATTATAATTATGTTATTCCGCGCTATTTTTTCGGATACACAGGTTAAAAATAACGGAGTACATTGACTCTCGATTGCTTCTAGAGGTTTCAACCATGTATCACTCTTATTAAGTTCCACCTGAAATCCTATAATAATAGTTGGTATCTTAAATTTCGCAGATGAGTCTAGATAATCGTGGTATAACATAGGAAACGAAAGTATAGTCAATTCCTTTTTCTTGCACATGCAAGAAAAACAAAGTTTCGGTGAATCAGAATTATATACTAATTCTGACCCTATCATTATAATCGTTAGATGCTGCAATTCAGGTACAAGGTGTAACAAAATTTCCCAAGCTAGTAGACCCTCTCTCTTCATAGGATTTGCAGCTATAATATGAATAATAACATGATATTGTTGTAAAATAATTAACCAACTTAATCTGTCTAATCCGGAATAGATCGTCAATGGGTCTGAAAGGTAATCAGACTGGACAAAATCTTTAGTAATCCAATCCAGGTCTCTTCTTTGCATTAGCATAAATTTCATACAAAATTCCAGCATCTCTTCAAAATGACTACAGTAATTAACCAGCTTAAAGAATTCGTAGGATATATTAGTAATTTTACCAGAGATAGTTTGGATATCTATATTGAGTGCTAGCATCAGACGATCACATTTGCCGTTATAATGTTTCTTATGAAAGACTTCTGCGTGCTCATCACAATAATTAGCGGAAAAGCATCTCTTGCAAACACGCAGTTCAGTTTGTTTGAAACAAACAATACATGATTTTGACCACAAGATCATTTGCTGCATGTATGGCTCCATAGGTCGGTCAATTTTTTGTTGAATTAATTTCATAAATTCTTTCCTTGATTGAATCCATTGTTGCCAGTCGCTGTATCCGCAAGTGTCTCTCTGCGATTTTACTTTCAAAACTTCAGCTATAATAGTGCAGATTTCCATATGTTCTATGTAGTGTATCGTTTTGTGCTCTTTGCTGCAGTATGAAATCAAGCAACACTGGTCACATAATATCAAATTGTCTCTATCTATCGACTTGCAAACGTGGCAAATATTCGGATTGAAAAACTGATTATAAAGTTCGGGCGTGTATTTTCCTCTATACTTCAACACTTCTCTATTTGGATTGCTCATACTGATATGTCTATTTAATGAAGATTTCTAAATACTAATGTGTGTAATATTACTTGAGAAATGATTTGCGAAACTAGGCATGTGAGCAAGAGTAATGAAATTCCTTGTATAAATTCTCAATATAAATTCATTCGACGATTGCTCGAAGGACAATAATAAAGTGTTTATTTGTGTTTCTAAGTGTCTCGGGAACTGTTGTCATTTTAAAATGTGACCAGAGATACAAGGATATAGAAATTTCCAAATCGTTTCCAAATCGAATATACTGAATAAATTTTAAAATGAGCGAAGAAGATATGTACATGTAAAAACAGTATGTAAAAAAGTGTGTATTCATATATTTGGAAACTAAAAACATTATATTTAAAAAAAAAGAAAAATTAGATTATCAAGCAGACGTGACTTAGAAAAGCTATTGCAGAATTATTTAATAATTATTAATTTTTAGCGTAATATGTCGAGTATGAATATAATGACTTTGCAGAAAGAAATTTTAATATCGCAAGTAATGAATACAAGGTATCATTTGTTGACAAATACAAAAACACCGGCCGAGTAAACACCAACTAACAATAATATTGCATCAATGTTATAATTTCCCGCTTAACAATGTAACTGTTATATAACACTCGCGTTATATTGTATTGTTGAATAAGAAATTATGACATTAATATTATGTTATTGATAATTACTGTTTACTCGGGAGACAAAGTGACGATAAAAAACGCAATTCATTAAGATATTGAACGATATTTGATTTTTTTTATATTAAATTTTGTCTTAGTTCATAAACATTATACATTTTTAATAATATTTGAGATATTTCCGACTCCAACTATAAAAATCAACCATAATGATGTGCGAAAATATATAAACGATGCGAGTACGTGCAAATATTTAGTAAGCTTGAGGTAAATTCTAGATAAACTTTTAAACAGATTAATTCTTCTCTTCTTCATTAAAGACGTTTATAGTTTATTTATAACAACAATTTAATGTTTGTTTTGTTAAAATAAATATTAATACAACAAATAGCAGGATAATGTTACTAAAGCGAAGGTACAACTATTCGCATTAACTGGTAGATTGGTCAGAATCAAGTCAATATAATCTATCGTAAATAAGTAAATGTTCATTACGAAAATATATATCATCAGTATCTAAGTCTCTGTGAGGTGCAAGACCACCAAAGTGATTTCGTTGATTAAAAGTAGGTTTTATATTTGTTTCTAGAACTTCTTGTATTTTAGTTATACTTTTTTGCGCTTCTTGTTTACATGAAAAACCCAAAAGTAACGGACAGGAGAGATTTTGTATCATTTCTATAGATTTCGACCATGTGTCACTTTCATTTAGTTTGACATGAAATCCTACTATCACATTTGGGTTTTTATTACATTTTTCAAATGAATTTATAAATTTATAGTATATTACAGGAATAGTAACGAAATAAAGAGTCCTTTTCTCCATTTTGCACCAATAACAAAGTTCGTATTTTTTCGAACTATACGTTAATTCTGGGTCTATCAAAACGATTATTAGCTGTAACACTTCGGGTAGAAGATGCAACAAAATTTCCCAAGTCGCTGCACTATTTCTGCCTATGGAGTTTATAGATATAATATGAATAACAGGACAACTTTCCTGTAAAACATTTAACAAATTTATTCTCTTTAACCCAGAATAGACTGTTAGTGGTTCAGAAAGATAATCAGATAAGACATAGTCTTTAGCAATCCAATCCAGATCTCTTTTTTGCATTATCATAAATTCAAGACAAAATTCAAGCATCTCTTCAAAATGACTCTTTGCATTAACAAACGAAAGGAATTTGTACGATAAGTCAGTTGTATTACCAGAGATAGTTTCGATATTAATATTCAACAGTAGCATGAATTGGTCGCATTTAGCCTCACCGTGTTTCCTATTAAAAATTTCCACGTGCTCATTGCAATAATTAACGGAAAAGCATCTTTGGCAAACCCGTAATTCAGCTTGTTGATAACAAACAATACATGATTTTGACCACATTATCACCTGGTTCACGTACTCGTCTATTGGGCGGCCCCATCTCTCTTGGACTAATTTCATAAATTCTTTTCTTGATTGGATCCATTGTTGCCAGTCGTTGTACCTACGAGTGTCTCTCTGCGGTTTTACTTTCAAAACTTCTGCTATAATTGTGCAAATTTCCGCATGTTCCGTTTGGTGTACCTTTTTGTGCTTCTTGCTGCAGTAAGAAATCAAGCAGCACTGGTCACATAATATCAAATTGCTTCTGTCTATCGATTTACATACGTGGCAAATATTCGGATTGAAAAACTGATTATAAAATTTGGGCTTGCATTTTCCATGATATTTAAATACTTCTCGGTTTGGATTCCTCATACTGATATGTCTGTTTGATAAAGTTCTAATGTTATATATATATATAACTTAAAAAAATGATTTTTGAAATGCAGCACGCTCTGCAGATGCGTAAACGCTCTGGTGAATAATAAAATTCCTTATACATATATTCTCAATACAAATATTCACTTGCCGATTGTTCAGAGGACAATAGCAAAATGTTTATATATGTTTCTGTAAGTAAATCGACAACGGTCGTCAGTTTAAAATATTACTGGAAAAACAAATATCCGTTTCTATAAATAGAATATCTCGAAAAAGTTTAAAATACATAAAGTAGAAGGTTTACATATAATAAATATGTACAGATGTATATGCTCATATGTTGAAACATATTTTACTTTTAGAAATAACATTTTAATTTGAGAAATTAAAGTAAATTGAAGGAAATTGAAGTAAATTGAATTACCAATAAGTGCGCGCCACTTTCTATAAAAAGTGTCATGGAATTGTTTAATTATTATTAATCACACACATATACACACACAAAGAAAAATATTTTGATCTTGACCATAATATTTTAAAAGTAGAAATTGTAATATTTCAAAGAATGAATGCATGTTAATATTTGCTAGCAAATACGAGAAAGAAGTGTAATAATGTAGTGAAGAGAATAAGGATGTAAATATTAGACACATCTTAAATGTTATAATTCTTGTACAAAAGAATTTATTTATTTCATAAAAACACCACATATCTTAATAATATTTAAAATAATGTTTCTGTTCCCACGCTAATATCCTAACAGCACAAATATCCAGAAAACGTTCTAAAAACGTCCTGGGGACGTTTCTGTGGAGCGGTATATAAGGACATTTGTAGGTCGTTCCCAGGAGATTTTGTGCTATATAGGTATGTAGTCATAAAAAAAAAGATACCTTATTTAAAATACATTATAACCGTTATATTTACGACTAGGGTAATAATTTATTAATGAAAAACAATGTACTGCCAAAAACTGCCAATAAAAAGAAGTGATATTTATTAAAAAATTTTATAATCTATAATAACAATTCAATATGTACCTTTCACCCTTCTCCCAATTTCGGCACTGCTGCTAAAGTGAACAAACAATTATTCAGATGACCTGCTACTGGAACTGTTTAAAACCATAATTCAAATCGTCGTAAAAATTATATATTCATTACGAAAATACACATTACCAGTCTCTATATCTATGTGCGGTGCAAGTCCACTGAAATAATTTCTACTAATAAAAAAAGGTTCTTTTATAAAACTTAGAGTTTTTTATATCTTATTATGTCATTTTGCGTCTTTTGTTCACACGAAGAACTTAAAAGTAGTGAACAATTTTGGGCCTGCATTGCTTTTATGGATTTTGACCATGTGCTTCCCTCACTAAGTTCAGCATGAAATCCTACAATTATTCTTGGTATCGTAGGCTTTATAGCTAGTATAAAATCATAGTACAACATAGGAAATTAAAAGAAGAACAATTCATTTTTCTTATTTGTGCAAAATTCACAAAGTATCCGTCTTCTAAAACCGTTTTTTAATTCTGGTCCTATCAGAATGATTGATAAACTTTGTATTTCAGGTATAAGGTGTAACAAAACTTCCCAAGCTGCTAAACCACTCACATCCATAAAATTTGCGGCTACAATTTGAATAACTACATCATCAGTTTGTAGAATACTTAATAAACGTATTTTTTTTCAACGTATAATAGACTGTCAGTGGTCCTGAAAGGTAATTAGACTGGACATAGTTTTTAGCCAACTAATTTATGTCCTCTCTTGGCGTTAATAAATATTCTATACAAAATTCGAGCATTTCTTCAAAATTTGCCTTCTCATTGATAGATGGAAGGAAATCATAACACATGTCAGTTGTATTACCAGAAATTGTTTCGATATCTATATTGAGCAATAGATTCAGTTAGTCACATTTGACCCCATCATGTTTCTTCCTAAAATCTTCCACATGCTCATTGCAATAGTTAACGGAAAAGCATCTTCTGCAAGCATGTAATTCAACTTGTTGGTGACAAACAACGATTTTGACCACAAGATCATCTGCTGCATATATGGCTCCATTAGACGATCAAATCTCTGTTGAATTAATTCCAACAATTCTTTCCTTGATTGGATTCATTGCTGCCAATTGTTGTATCTGCATGTGTCTATTTACGGTCCTATTTGTACAACTTCTGCTATAATTGTACAGATTTTTTCATGATGTGGATAGTGTGCCGTTTTATATTTCTCGCTGCAATAAGAAATCAAGCCGTATTGATTACATAATATCAAATTATCGTCTACCGATTTGCAAACATGACAAAGATTCGGTTTGAAAAATTTATTGTAATATTCAGGTGTGTACTGTCCACATATTTAAACACTGTTTTATTTGGGTTACTCATATTGATATATCTGTTTAATGAAGTTTTTTGGAAATGTATTTGTAATATCGCTTGCAAAATATTACGCGGAACTCGACACGTGAACGACAATAATAATCTTCTTCATACAAATTCTCAGTACCGATGTGCACGCAGTAACTGTATGAAGGACTATAATTAGGTGTTTATACATATCTCGGCGGACATCGGGAATTGTTGATAATTTGAAATATTAGTGAAGACACACACATACACATTGAAATACAAATATTCGTTTCTAAATAGAGAAGATACGGAACAAATGTTAACACAAAATGTACACGTAGCAGATATGTTTATTCATATAACAAAATATTAAACATTTTACGATTAGAAAATTAAAACAGATTAAATCATCGAGTGCACGCCGCTTTCTATAAAAGATATTATGTAATTGATCAACTATTATCAACGTTAAGAAAAATATTTTGAGTTTGAACATAATGGTATTGAAAGTAAAAATTTTAAAGGCTCAAAAAATAAATGCATGTTAACGTTTATCAAGGACTACAAGAAAGAAGTACAAGAGAGCGGCGATGAGAATAGAGATGTATTAAGATATTAGATGATACATTTACATTAGATGATACGTTACTTCTTCTACAAATAATTGTTCTCATTTAACAAAAAAAGGAAAGTATCACATAATTTTAATAATATTTAAGATATCATTTTCTCGTTCCTATAGTAATATACGATAGTAATAATAAGCGAATTTATATATACAATGAACATGATTACAAGTTTCTACTGTTGTAGAAATCTGAGTCCGTAAACGTTAAACCATTTAAAACATTTAGTGTACGCAAGATATTGTATCAAGGCAGCTTACATAATAGAGTTATGTGTAATGTATTTTACACATAATTAAATTTATTTACTTTAAATTTATTATACAGAATGTCTTACAATTATTGATACAACCCTCATATACAGAAAAAACCCATCGAACCAAAAAGGAAAATATTATGCTAGTTAAAAAACCTCGCTTTATTTATTAAGGAATTAATTGAAACATATTCTTGAACAAGTGTGCGAGAAATAGGACGTGTGCTGAAGGCAAAGTATAAAGGCAAAGATGTTTGGAATTTGTCCACAATCTCTTTGCATCGATAAATGGTACTGACATTAATTTGCACGTCATCACAATCTAATATTATCGTTCGCAGTTGCCAAGAAATTTTCAATATATTCGGGGCATTTTGGACAACATTTTGTTTACAGAACTCATTTATACTCCATTTCCTGCAATAATCCAGTGATATTTTTTATTTTATTCCTTAATAATTATTACAACATTCGAAAAATAGTGAAGGATTTTACTAATTTGCTTGCAGCTCGGTACTCTCATATAAATGTTGGGTTATTAACTGTTAGACACTCTATATAAAATAAACTGTTATAAACTGTTATAAACTGTTAGACATTTTATATAAAATAGAGATATGAAAATCGTTGAACCGTCATATCTACCGACCAGTAATACTTTGTACAATAAAAAACAATATAAATAATATAAACAATATTTGCCAATATATATATAAAAAGATATTAGTATTTATTTAAAAATATTATAATTTATTTATATTAGTAGTTTAATATGTATTACGTTGAGAGTAATGCTGCCATTATTCAGATATGCTCGTGGTTTCATCGTTTGATGTATTAGTAAAGAAAAGCTCGGAAACAACTAAATATTCATTACGAAAGTATATTTCACCTGTCTCCAAATCTCTGTGTGGTGCAAGACCTCCAAAAAAATTCCTTCGATTAATATCAAGTTCTAATTTAAAGTCAACGATGTCCCTTATCTTATTTATGTTATCCCATGCTTTTTGTTTGTGTGAAAAGCTTAAAATTAACAAAACGCATTGATCTTTTATTGCTTTTATGATTTTCGAGTATGTGTGTCTCTCACTAAAATCGACTTGAAATCCTACAACTATATTTGGCGACATGTGTAAATCAGATGCCACAAAATCATGATATAACATGGAAAATGATAAAAAGTAAAGCTCTTTGTTTTTATTTATGCAAAGATCACAAAGTATATGTTCCTTATTACTGTTTTGTAATTCTGGCCCTATCAAAATAATTGATAGATTTTGTATATCAGGTATAAGATGTAACAAAATTTCCCAAGCTGGTAGACTATTCATATCCATAGAGTTTGCGACTATAATATGAATAATAATACTATCACCCCTTAGAATATATAATGTTTCAGTTCTTTGGCATCCAGAATAAACTGTTAGTGGTTCTGATAGATAATCAGACTGGACATAGTCCTTAGCCAACCAATTTATATTTTCTCTTGGCGTTAATAAATATTCTATACAAAATTCGAGCATTTCTTCAAAATCTGCCTTCTCATTGATAGATAGAAGGAAATCATAACACATGTCAATTGTATTACCAGAAATTGTTTCGATATCTATATTGAGCAATAGCTTCAGTTGGTCGCATTTTACTTCATCATGTTTCTTCCTAAAATCTATTACATGCTCATTGCAATAGTTAGCGGAGAAACATCTTCCACAAACATTCAGTTCAGCTTGTCTATGACAAACAGCACATGATTTTGACCACAAGATCATCTGCTGCATGTACGGCTTCATTGGACGACCAAATCTCTGTTGAATTAATTCTAACAATTCTTTCCTTGATTGAATCCATTGTTGCCAGTTGTTGTATCTGGACGTGTCTGTTTGCGGTCTCACTTGTAAAACTTGTGTAATACTTGCGCAGATTTTTTCATGGTTCGGATAATGCATTATTTTGTGTTCCTCATTACAGTAAGAAATCAAGCAACACTGGTCACATAATATCAAATTGCCTTTATCTACCGACTTGCAAACGTGACAAAGGTTCGGATTGAAAAACTGATTGTAATATTCAGGTTTGCGCGGTCCATGATATGCGAACACTTGTGTATTTGGGTTGCTCATTTCCATATATTAATTTAACGAAATTGTTGGTATGTTATTTCTGTAATATTATTAAAGATATAATGCGTCCTAAACGCGTTGTGTGTGCACAAAAATAATATAATATCTTTATATAAACACTCAATATAGATTCACGTGACGTTTGCTCTCAGGACAATAATATAGTGTTTATATATGTTTCGACGGATATCGGGAATTGTTGTTAATTTGAAATATAACTGGAACTATACTGGATAACAAGGGAGTTATCACTTCTCAAGGAGAATACCCCAAATTAACTTTAAGCCTACAGAGGAAAATATGTATACATGTAAAAATATATATAATAAAGCGTATATTCATCATAAAATATATATAATAAAGCGTATATTCATATTTTGAAACTTTAAAAATATTATATTTTTATAAAATAAAGTAATATCAAAGTACACAGTATTTACTATAGCAAAATGTTGTGGAATTATTTAACAATGCGTGCGAATCTCCAGCAAGGCCGAGTCGAATAAATATTAAACTACTTATACCGTGCTCAAACACAATTTACGGGATACATTGCATATATATGTTTTATATGACATAATTTTGTAAGATGTATTTAAAAAATGTGGGTTTAGAAATTAATTTTATTATACAGTGCATCCGACAATTAATAACAGAACGTTTGTTAGCAGATGCAAGATATAAAATTGAACAGGCATATCTTATATTATTTTGTAAGTTTCACAGAATTGATCAGAGACGAAACTCGGCATATATGTAAACGACAATAATAACATTTCATGTATATATTCAATATAGATGTTTACATGACAATTGTATGAAAGAAGAATAATAAAGTGTTTCTATGTGTTTCCGAGTGTCTCTCGGGAACGACTGTCAATTCATATGCTGAGACACGATACCCAAAGATGAGACACGATATCTAAAGGCGTTACAGATATTTATATCCAAATAAAATACACCAGCCTGACAATCCCGCGTACTTATTCGTTGATGTTTCCCATTTCTTAAGAATTATTGTCAAATTTGCAAAATGGTAAAGAATTTTCCTTGTTCAATTGATGTGTTCTTGCACTCCAGGTTGTGTCATTAAATTTTGGACACTCTATGTTAGGAACATTTTTATCTGACAGACGCAGGAGCAAATCGCGCGCGAAGTGCACGTTCCGCGTGGCTCGTTAAGGGATCACGGGATTGTATCGGCGTGACGCGAGGTGAATTTCTTGCTTCACGATGGCATCCCAACGACGTGCCGAGTGATTTCGGCGTGGACGCGTGGCGTCGTGGTTCGCTGCCGCGCAGTCGACGCGTTCCGTCCATTCGAAAATATATGTACCGTCGAGATCATAGGCCGACATTCGTCGTCTCTGACTGGCGCTAAAATTAAGCGGCATCGCTCTTAGTCTTCGGCTCGTTTACCAAAAGGAACGAATGCAAAGTCTGCGAAAGTCCCTCTCTGGGGAAAGAACAAGCGGCGCTTCACGACTTTATTTCAAGAGAATCGTTTTGATTAATTCTGGAGATATAGCACTTAACATGGAAAGAGTGACACAGCTTAAACATTTGAGATTTTTAATCAATATCGTAATAAAGCGCACAAGATCATATCTTGTAACGAGAAAATATTATACATTTACGTTTACAAAATGAAGACAGAGACAATTCACATAATTTATTAGGACTGAACGGAACCGAGCAGACTGAGTGGCGATTGCGTGCACCAACCGGTAAAATGAAATCTCCCAAGTCGAAATTTTGATGCTACTTTGACGCTCTTAAAGATAGTTTGCAGTTAGACGATTTATACCCTACTTAGACGGCTTATAGCTTAGGTAAAACCTACTTTGACGATATTGATACTCATTAATTTCTCTTTTGAACCTTTAACTCTACCTTGTCAAAATTTTGACAAATTTTGACGTTACTTTGACGCTCTTAAAAATAGTTTGAGCCTACTTAGATAATCTACAACCTAGGTGAAACCTATTTTGACGATATTGACACTCATTTTCGAGTCGAAATTTTGACTCTATGTTGAACTTTGAATTCTACACCGCAATAGGAGCTAAGATAGCAAAGTAGATTTAATTTTAATGATATAATTTACTCCTACTTTGACTCTGATGATGTCTGAAATATATGTAACAAATATATGTAACAAATATATGTAACAAATGTATATTTTGTATGCTATTTGACGTTTCTGTTTCGTTATTTATTAAATGTTTTAAATATTTCTATAAAATACATATATTCTATGTAGCAGCTAAAGTTTCAATAGAGTTTTGCAACTGAACCTACTTTGCTTCCTAAAATCCTACTATTATATAACTTACTTTGACGCTAAAGAAAGCGAAAGCGGAAATTTCAGACATCATCAAGGTCAAAGTAGGAGTAAATTATATCATTAGAATTAAACCTACTTTGCTATCTTAGCTCCTACTAGTGTAGAATTCAAGGTTCAACATATGGTTCAACAAAATTTTGACTCGAGCTATGTAGCAAAAAAACTACATGAAAATAGAGCGCAGTTCTTTTACCATGCGGCGTGACTTCGATAAACAATCAGGGGCGGAATCGTCGGCCGACGATTTCGCCGGAAGTTAGACGACGTCGGCGGCAAGTGGAAACGGAGCACTCTCGAGAGCCGCGATTGAGGCGACGGAGGAAAATAACCAGAGTTTAACGGACTCTTTGAAGATCGAGATTGGAAACGTCTCCTTCACGACTTTACAGTAGCTGCGAGGGAGGTATCGCGGGCGGGAGAGGAGATGCGGAAGGGTGGGCAGACGAAGATAAAAAAGGTAAAATAGTGCATTAGCGGACCTGGGTCTGTAGCTTCCATTTGGCCGTTAATGAAACACAGACGATCAACGGCGGAGCCGTAAAGATCGTCATCCGTTCTATTTATCGACAAGCCGTTGATAGTATTAACGTGCAACGCGAGCGTGAACATTGTCGTCCCATTTTCACAAACTGTTTCCCCGAGACCTGTATCGAGTCATCTGAAGCGCACTTGACCCTTCCCCTCCTTCCACAAGGAGAATGTTAAAAATAAACTATTTTTGGTCTACTGACGGAACCTTAACTAGTCATTGGAAACTGTTTTTGGGATCTTCTAGAAACAGAAAATAATAATTATTTTTCCACCAGATCTGAGGAAAGTTATGAAAATCGAGGTTTATGATTGATATGAAGCGTTTTTTAAGTTTTGCACCCTTGATATGTCTTTAAAATACAATCAACTGCATATTTATCTTGACAGATAAGTAGTAAATATAAAAAAATTTGTCTTTTAGTTTATATATAATGTTAGGTGTTGTATATGCAAAGGGATTCTAAAGGGAGAAAATCTACTTTTTTTAAAGGGACAAAATTTACATTTTTTTAGTCTTATCTAACAAACCTTTTATATGAAATACTTTGAGAGGAAAAAAAGGAGAAAATTAGGAAGAGATCGTCAAAGGGATTATCAGCGTGCATATCCGTCACTCTCGCTGAGTTCCACGACTCCGAAATTCTAAACTGTCGAGTATCTTCCTGACAAGCATAACTTACACAAAATACACTGAATTCATGGTATACACATTTGTTATTTTAAAGACACCAAGGATACGCATAACTTAAAAATTGCACATAACTATTTAAACATCAATAATAAATTCCAATTTCGTAATTTTCTACAAATAATTGTTGTTTTCTGTTTCTAGAAGATCCCAGAAATAATTTCCAATTATTAGTTGCTGTTCCGTAAAAATTGGCCTATTTTTAACATCCTCCTTTGATTCCTCGATGCACACAACATCGATCGCTCGTTCGGTCGAGCGTTATTTACACCGGCTGTAAAAGTAACCGCGCATCGTCGCCCCATTACCGTCCCGAGATAAGATCTGCGGATAACCGAACGCCGAATTAAGATCCCGTTAAATGCGCGAGCTTAAATGAATCAACCATGAGTCTCTTTAATGCTCATTGGGTGCACTCGTTATTTATGCAACGATTGGGTTTCTCGCGACCGGAACACCGACGGAGAGCCAACCCTTGTGCGAGAGCTTCGCCAAGCGGTTTAGAATGGCATAGAATTCCGCGATAAATCGATGTGGATTCTACGAGCTGTGGCAATAATAGCGCACCGTCGGGGGTGCGTTCTCAGTCCGTTCGCCCCGACGAAACGACGCCGTTCGCGACGCCAAAAGAAGAGTCGAGGGACCGAGCCTCCTGGTTGTCTCAAACTGCTCGACTATTCTCTCTGTACGCGTCGAAAGAGTCTATAATTCTACGACGCTTCGACGGAATCCCCGCAAGAAAGAGCTATGCGGCGGAGGACTTGAGCCTGATCTACGGCTCTCGTTACTTGGTCGCTTCGTGGGCTGCCTCCGACGTCGAGGAAACCATCTCTTACATACCCATCCACCTATCCACCTACCCACCCACCTACGATCTACGGTCGCACTCCGCGTCGGTTGCATAACGATAAGATTTCGCGTACGTTGCATACGTGCCAGGAAAGCCTTTGCTCCGTCTCCATCTCGCGCCAGCGTAACGCTTTTGACGTTGTCACATGCCAGCGTTTAAATCTCGAGCCGGCTCGCGCCGATCTCGGCGTAAAGCTCGTTCGCGCGAGAGGAAGCCTCGCTTATTTTGATCCCGTGTTATCGATCTTCGCGAGACCAGCGATTCAATTTCGGGTTTCATAGTTTTACTGGCGCATATAACCCCCTCGTCGTCGTCGTCGTGAAAAGCCGACAGCTGTTGAGCGAGATTTTATTTCTCAGTCGGGTTGAATGCCGCGTTTTATCGTGGCGTTTCGAAGTCATCACGCCGCTCGTCATCACCATTGACGAGCTTCGAAAGCTCTCGCGCGCTTCCGCACGTCGACGCGCGGTCGACGGATGCGCGTTTTCTGTATGGCGAATTTTTTAAGCAACGTATTTGCTATTTACGTGACGCTCATGGACCATGGGCGAATGTGAATGGTTAAACTGCAATCGGCGATTCGTCCGGCCCCTCGGCGACTCGGTGAAAAAGTGCTCGGCGAAAATTGAATAATCGAGTCACTCGTCAACGCGAGCGCGGTTGTGCCAATGAATTTTGCATGCGGCCCTTTTGAAAGTATAATGTTATTGTATAATCCAATATTTTGTGGTAGACGACGTTTTCGCGAGCACGCACAACTCCGCGGACAAATAACAGTTACATTCAGGCAGTTTCCGCGTAGGAGGAAGAAAGTGCGAATTTCCTCTGTTTTGATTCCAGAATTGGCTTTTTCTA